AAAGAATGAGACAGCGAATACTCTTATAATCATTACCGAAAACAACCTTTTTCTGAATTAGTACTTTTTTCGTCTCGTTTGGTTTTTCCAGCGAATGGATTGATAACTTGATTTATCATTTTATCAGCAATTATGTAGGGTCTATTCGTTTTCAACAAGCTCACTCAGAAGTCTTAGTGACATTTTATATCCTTGCTAACTACATTAAAAAAATCGCAAAATTTAATGACCGCAAAAACTTGCATGTAAGCAAAAGGCGCCCTTTCTCCTCAAAAGAGTTAAACCATGGACTTCAGAAGTGAGGATTGAAATTTCTTATTGATGGTAAAACTTTGGGGTGTGAAATTAAAATATAATGCCAGCAACAATGCACCAAACAATGCGTATCCCAAACGTCAGTGTTCCCATAATTACAAAGTTGGTGCATCGAAAATGTGATTGCATAAATAAACGTTGTTTGATGTTATAAAACCTTGGTCAGGCTACTGGCTAACCATGGCTATAAGTTAAATACATATATCTTTCAGAGATGCAGCTAATAATTTTATGTAGTCATCCACCTTAAAAAATTCATGGAGGTTGGAAAAGTTACAAGTCATCGTCATTTATAAAAAAAAAGGAAAAATAAAGTAAGAAGTAAAAAGTAAAAGTAAAGTAAAACAAAGTAATTAAAGTAAACAAACAAGTAAAAAAAGTAAAGTAAGTAAAGTAAAGTAAAAAGTAAATAAAGTAAAAGATTAAAGTAAAAAAAAATTAAAAAAAGTAAAGTAAAAAAAATAAAAAGTTAAGTAATTTTATTTAATGTGGCAGCACACTTAGCTTGAAGCTACTTTTCAGGAGGCCTACTATAAACAACAAAAACAAATAGTTGAAATTGGACATAAATTGCTAAGAATCCCAACAGGCCGGAGGCAAACCAGTTGACTATTTGCAAGCGTGGCCGACGATTTGAACTCGGAGCTACCGTGAAACAAATCCAGGTAGTGGCCAGAGCGGGACTCGTACCTAGGAGCAGCGGATTACGAGTCCGACGCACTGACCACTCGGCCACGCTGCCTCCTTCTTATAAAGACCTTTTGTTTCAATTTCAGGAGAATGTTAAAATGGTTGATTGTCCCGGTGTTGACGAAAGCGATGTTGTGAGTAGTTTTGTTCTCAACTACCTGCTGCGTGCTTTCTGTTTCATGTACGTTCTCTGGACATCTAATGCTGGAGGAATTCAGCCGGACAGAGTAAGAGCAATGAGCAAAGGGTATTTCAAATATAATCAATTTAAAAAAGGTTCATTTAATTGGGAAGGAGACTGGAGATCCCCCTGCGGGATGATCTGCAGGAAAGCAGATGAACAGTACGCTTTGAATCATTGCTTTCAATGGTTCCGTGGAAATACAATCGGCTCTCAGTTTCTGTTTTAGCTTCGCGTGCTGTTTCAATAAGTCAAGTAGATGATGGAAATTGTCGTCACCGTGCTCGTTTTTTGCGATGGGACAATTAGTTCTTTCCCATTCATTGATTAACTGGTTATACAAGCGCATGCAGACCCAACGCTGAACTAAAGAATTGGAGGTCCCTTTCTTTTCTTTACTCTTTAAAATCGCGCAGAGTCTACATCTATGCCAACAGATGCTCAGCGTTAGTTTTTAGCAGCAAAATTTGTTTTTATAGTGTACTAATCACCATTCGCATAAAGATTGCTTTTGCACGGCATGTGTTGTTACACACAGTACGGCTCAATTCAGTTACATTCGAAAGCCATTTAATTTGCCCCAGAATTTTGTTGTTTCATGTTTCAGTGTTTTGTAAATAGCTATTTCTTATTTGGGAAAAGGGCGAAGTTCAACGTTAAATACTCCTTTTGCAGGGGTGGGGCATCGTTTGCCTGTATCACCACTAGCTATTAATTACCGTGACTAGATTAAAAAAGATTTTAGATCACATTTTCCACGCGTTCGTTCAAGGAATACTTATTCAAGAGTTGAGCCTTGAGGTTTACATGTTTGTATCACTTTTATTTAATAGATCTCATTTCATCTTCTTTTGTCTTTATAGTCATGAAAGCTACTCACCTGTGCCCAAAATCTGAGGACAAATGCCAATCTGGATTTGACATTATTTGCTCGCTGTACGTTATTTGTCTGTAACAAATGGGATTTGTTTGAGCAAGAAGAACGCGAAGAGATGGAAAAAGATACGATCGAAAAACTTACAAGAATACTTGGTAACCTGGATCCAAAATTGCAGATTGTTTACCAGTCATGCAAAACTGCTCAGTTGGCCGAGACTTATCGAGCGGTCACATGAAGATTTCTGTTACTTAATTTCAAGAATTAGTGACCAATGTGTTAAGTGGGGTTGATAGGCCTACACGACTCCCCAGTGCGTGTTTAGAGTAGCCTATTCAAAGTTTAGCCCTCACGAGTATGTCTTTCAGCGACCACCCTCTTTTGTAAGATACGAGCGGCGGATTTTTGTATAGTTCGCTCAGTAGTGGTTGTGTTTCTATTAAATACCAGTTTTTATGTGTGGCACGGATGGTTGGTATTGTGTAACAAAAGGCAAGATTCGTTGTTTCGTCTTCGGTTTCCGTTGAAGAGCTAATTTCCTGTTTTTTAAACTCACCTCTGAGAGGGTTGTGTTAATGAGGTCCTCTGGGTAGCCTCTCTCTAACAAATACGCTTTGAAATTTGTAATTTTCTCCTGGAATATCGTTTGAGAGGAGTTTGTTCTGAGAAGTCTAAGGGCCTCCCCTTTTATGAAGGCTTTTTTGACTCCTTGTGGGTGACAGGAACCATAGTGTGTATACTGAAATGTCTTAGTTTGTTTAAAATGGGTACGCACATCAAGAATTGCGTCCTCTTCGAATCGTTCGCCTTTGTAGATGTAAGTGTCCAGGAATGTTGTTACCTTATCGGAAATTTCAGCCGTAAATTTTATTGTTGGATGATGGTTGGTTGCAACATTCTATTGTTGCTTTGTTTGTGCTCCATAGCGAGATCGAAGTTGTCGTCTATGTAACGTTTCCAAACCAGCGGTTTGAAAAGGCTTTTGTTAAGGATTTCTGTCTCTACCTTGTTCATGAAAATATTAGAAAAGGCGACTGCCATTTTCGTGCCTATGGCCGTACCATGTGTTTGAAGGTAGTTTTTTTTCATTAAAATGGAAAGAACTTTCTTGCAGAATTTGCCTAAGCACTTGTTTTAGTAGTTGTGTAGGGATAGGAGTTCCGTTTCTGTAGAATATTTCGTATGCTTTGCATACAGTGTCTATTCCCTCTTGTGGTACATTTGTATTTAAGCTCGTAACGTCCATTGAAACAAGTATTACTTTCTCCGGGACTTTAGTATTTTCTATGAAATTGACGAAGTCTGTAGTATCCTTAAGATACGACTTTTGTCTTTGTGCTATCGGCTGAAGGAGTCTGTCGACAAATGATGATAGTTTCTCTGTAGGGCCATCACACCCTGACACTATCGGTCAGCCGACCGGGGAAGGTTTGTGTATTTTTGTTAGGTAATTATGGAATTCGAGGCGGATTTGGGGTTTGACAAAGCCATTTTTTAGTCATGTCGTCTACATGATTGCCATTGTAGAGGTCTGCAATAAGTTGTCTGACCTTATGGTCCGTCTCTTTGACAATGGGTGATACAAGAGGCCTGTAGTAATCTTTGTTATATACTAGAGTTTGGCCTTGTAAAATTTTTTTTTGGATATATCAACAAAGTTGAAATGGTAAATTGGCCACCGTAATGATTACAAAAGCTGACGTTTCGAGCGTTAGCCCTTCGTCGGAGCGAAAAAATTTTGTCGAGTTTGTTGATGACTGCGGTTGTTGTTCCTTTGTCGGCCTTTTTGAGGTTTAACTCAGGGTCACACTTCAATTTAGGCCCTCAGCGCCTTGCGTTCGGCCGAAAGCAAATTATCTTTTGGCTTTGTAATTTCTATTTCTGAAAGGTCACTTTTAACCTCTTAGAAATAGCTTTCAAGGGCTACTGATTTTTTAGTTGGTGGTATCCATATGGATTTGACGTGGCAGAGATGGGTTTTTTGTCCTTCCCTCAGAATATGTAAATCAGACGCATGCTCCTTGCGAACTCATCAAAGTCGCGCAATAGTTTTTGTCTGATCTGTTTTTGTTTAGTAGCGGGTGTTGGAATGAATTTAAGCCCTTTTGCCAGTACATTAATCTGGTTGTTTGTAAGTTCTTTATTTGAGGGGCTTTTTATGTGCGTTTTTGTTCGCCTCTATTTTGATGGTTGAACGTGTTTGGCGTCTGACTTTTCTGCTCTCCCTGCGTTTGTCGGTTGATAGCCGCTTGGCTTTTCAAATTCTTTTTTTGGCCCCTTGTTTGTATTTGGAGTCAAACAATACACGTGTGTACTTTTCAAATTCTTTATTCTCCACTGTTCCTAATCTTTTCATCATACTGCCGAACTGGTCGATTTGTCCCTGGAGATTAGCAGCTATTTTTTTGAGTCTCGATTGTTACATTGTCTTCATTGCTTTTAGCTTGCGCCACGCGCGCTGATTTGATCGTACTACAGTTCTTAGTGTTCAGTGTTCCAGCCGTTTTGGCTCGTTTTCTTTTCTGTATTTCGGTCTTTAAACGACTGATTTCACGTTCATGGAAGCACATGATCGCCTTTAGAGGAAGTCAAGAAATGTTATAGTCTGAATAATTCTAGCTATTTCTTGGGAAACATAATAGTAATAATGACAATAATAATCAAAATTAAGCTAGTTATAGGCCCCTGTAAGGAATGGAATACAATTATTGTAGAAAATCATGCGTGAAAACCAAAACATCACATAATTCCACATGTTGTGTTTTCCAAAAACTTGTTTCTATACTGGCAAGTAAATTTTTTTTTTTTTTTAATAGAACATCATAAGCATTAAATTCCAAAAATGACCCTTAAAACGTTATAAGATATCCTTTGCTTTACGAAATTGTCCTAAGAGCCAATCCTAGACCGGTATTGTACAATCGAGATTCCTATTCT